GAGAGATTGAGCTGCCGGGCGAGCTCGGTGCGCTCCCGCCCCACGACGTACTGGCACCGCTGGAACTCCATCTCCAGGCGGTAGAGCTGCTCGGCCGTGAAGGAGGTGCGGGTCCGCTTGGGACGGTCCAGATCAAGGCCCTTAGGCAGAATAATCTCTCTGATTGAACCTTTGGCATCTGGCAAAGAAAGGCGCAGTCAGCTTTACACCCAGGCAACCCTCCTCCTTATGTTTCTTATCTTTTTTTTTTCTTTTCTTTTTCTTTTTCTATTTTCTTTTTCTTTTTCTTTCGTTCTTTCTTTTTCTTTTTTTTTTTTTTTTTACGAGGGAGGTAGAAAGTGCCGCCGCCAGCGCTTTCAAGACCGAGACCCAAGACAGGATGGAGCAGCGTCCCTCAGATTGCGGCGCTGCACCTGGCCACTACACCCAAGGAAGGAAAAAAAAAAACAACAGAGAAAGGAGGAGGGGGTGATGGGGCCCAGGGGTCTGGATATAATCCCCTCGGCCCATTTAAAATTGGTTTGAATACACTGCACTGACAGTACGACACTGCGGCATCACCCACAGCCCTTCTGGAAGGCTGGGGAGGGATCCTCCAGGCCGGGCTTTGTGACTGTAGGGCTACTCTTTGTTCCCCCTGGGCTCCCGGCTGGGGTGTGCTGAACATCCTTTGCCCCTGCCACCCCTCAAAATATAAAACCCTCTTGTTATTTTTTTTAAATAAGTCTCCCATGAGAAAAAAACAGACAGAAGCTTTCTGGGCACAGGCATCGGCTGCCCCAAGCTGGCTGATTTCCCACCCTGAATCTGGGGGCATCTTCAGCCCACCCAGCATCCCAGGGAAAGCATCGCCACGGCCGCTTCTCTGAGACTGGAGAAAAAAAAAAAGGAAAAAAAAAAGGGGAAGCAAGGAGGGAAAACCCAAAACAAGGCATCGAACAACCCGCGGAAACCTCACTCTCCTGGCAGCACCGACCGAAGGAAAGCGGGACAAATCTTATTAACACGACTGTCAAGCTAGAGCCAGATTCATGTTACATTAAAGCCTTCCCAACTTTGCTTTCCGTAATTTTACCTCCTCAGCACATTTTAAATCAGATACAACGACATCATTTTAATCTGACTCCTCTCTGGGTCAATCGGTCGCGCAAGGATTAATTATTGTTTACAAGGCCTGCTTTACACTAATTTTGTTATGATTCTGTTCTCTCCTTCCTTCCCCGAAACGCACTTTAATAAAACCGAAATTTCTCCAGGTAATTCTTTTGGGGGCAATTAAAATGATTTAATTAGTTTACACGCGGAAGGAGATGGGCAGTGAGGAAAACAAACCGTGTAACTACATTTAAAAAAAAAAACAAAAAACCCTTCATCTTTCCTCCGTTGATTTTAAGGCTCTGTGGATGGTGATTATTCACAGATATCCCTTTTCCTCGGGCGCCGGGCGCGGGGAGAGGGGGAAAAGCGGGAACCTTTGCCCTGCGCAGGGATCC